TCTCCTGAAGAGCTATTAAGTCAGCATTCCGACATAAACGTCGAATATCAGCAAGAGAACGCTTGATATTCTTACAGTTAAATGAAACAAACTTATAAGATTTATTACTAAGCATAGTATAAGGACAATGTCTAACTTTTGTTCCAAAATTAAACGGTCTAATTCTGATGTAGCTATTTTATCGTTATGAAGATTTAACTGGCCTATCGAAATATTATTAATTACTTAGTAAGTTACTCTTTAAACTTTTTTTTTTTTAAACTAAGTTAAACTATTCAGTAATTGGTATTTAATATTAGCTGTTCCAGTTTTAATTTGTATGTGGCACAGTCGTATGAGCCGCATCGATGGTCAGATGGTTTTTTGAACCGCTTACACTGTGCGCACGTGGGCTTAAAATCTGGTGTGTCTTTATGTGGACAAGCTCGCGTTTCGTGTGCGGCGGCGCAATTAGCACAAGTAGGGGTTTTAATGGTGCAAAACTTTTGTACATGACCGAATTGCTGACAATTTAAGCAACGAACTACTTCTATATCGTCTATGAATCTACATGTGGCCCAGTCTATGTAAAGTTTATCTTTTGTGTTGGCTAGATGTTTCCGAACTGCTGCCTCTAATTCTAAGCCTATCCATTGACGCCCATTTTCTAGTTTACGATGCCTAACAATTTTGGTTGACTTAATAAAATCGTTCTCACTTAATTTTAATTCGTCCTTGATATTCTGACGGTATAAGGCTGTTAGGAAGGCACGATCTTCCATAGAACCGGGTACGTCTTTTACAATTGTAAAAGACGTACCCGGTAATTATACGGGGCCTACGGCCTTTCGGTTTTTCTAAGCGCAACCCTACTGATTTAATGGCGTCCACAGATTCCAGTTTCTTAAGCTGCCGTTCGTTAGCTACACGTAACACGACGCCTGCCTTAGAGGTTTCTTTAACGCCTACAATTTGAAATCCCTCATCGCTCGGTTTAATAGCCTTCATGAGAGCTTGTTTCGTTGCTGACGAGGTCGCATAGTCCGTTAAGCGTTCCGTAGTGGGATAGGCAATAACACAAGGCCTAGGAACGCGCGCTTCAGTAGGTACCGGGCACGGAGCAGATTTAACACAACAAAAACTCGTTTGTTGAGTTGCGATACCCTCCATTTGTCGCTCAAAATTCGCTAACTTCGTTTCGTTGCTAGAGGATTTTATTGCTAACAAAGATACGATACCGGTAATTCGTTGAGTAATATCCATAATTGCCGTTTTATTACTTACATTCATCCGAGATCCCTGATCATTAACTAATTCATTAATTTTTGCCAAGCCATGATTTTCATTAGTGAACTATTTTGAATTAGACGATTTCTTTAAAATATAGTCGTGTTTTTTCGAGTTCATTATTTTGGTTTTAATTTTATTGTTATCCTGAGTCATACATGTACCATATGGAAGATAATTAGGCTTCATTGGCCCATGACGCTAAGGAGAAAACTGTACAACTCGAAAAACTTTTTGTGTTCTACTCGATTTGGAATGACTGAATAAAGTGAAGTCTGCTTCGCGGTTGGCCGTTATGGCGGGTAGAGGGGAAAACCCGTCCCGTCCACCCGCGACCACACTCAGGGCAGCATGAGGCCGTGATAAGCACGCCTCCGCCGCCCGGTTCGCCGGCGACGAATTGGGTCCGACTGGAGGTTTTCCTTCCTAGCCTTCTCCGCCGCCTTCCTCTGCGAGATGACGTATTCGCAGAAGGATGACCACGGTTAAACATCTGTCACTGTACCGGCCTTGGAGCGTATGATGGCCGGTAGCGAGAGATCCCCCCAATGGCTGCAATGAGGACCCGGCGCTGCGGCGCCCAAGCCGTGAAATCGCAGTGATGACAGGCGGGACTCAATTCCCTCCTAGCGACCGAGTGCAGGTATTTCCCGAAGCAGCCATGCCCGGAAAGGATCTGCGTCAGCCGGAAGGATAGGGTCACGTGCTGCCGCCCTGCCCATAACGATGACCGGCTGGAGTGCCCGGAATTCAGCCGTCCGCCAATATACTTCGGCGAGACCTTCCGCCTCCAAATCCCACAGGGGTGTTCCGGCAAACACGCACGCTCATTTAAAACACCTCCTCGGTCTTGCTGCCAGGACTGTGGTCCTAACGTTCACAAGACCTGGGTCTCAATTCTGCCATTCTAATATTGTATCAATAGACTGTCTATGGAATGTCGTCGGAATAATTTTTGCACTTTTCGTATTTCACTAACTATGTAAGATCAATGGCACGATGACTTGTCACTGAACTACTATTGATGTCATCGATGTCTTTGTTTGTTCATTTTAAATTTGTAAGAAAATTACATACTTTGATATCACCATTGAAAACCTATATTACTATATCGACAGTCTATTGACACTGTAAATTTATGTTAGTAATAGGTCTTTACCTATGAAATTGCAGTTTTGTATGCAATAAGTGAAAGTACTTATTTTTTCAAACTTTTTATTCTGTTGTTATTTTTACAAGAAGGGCATCAATAAACTGCCAATGCGTTGGCAAAGATGCGTCGATTGCATGGGTGATTACTTCGAATATCAGAAATAAAAAAGTTTGGTAAAAAATAAGTACTTTCACTTATTGCATACAAAACTGCAATTTCATAGGTAAAGAATAAAACCTAATAGAATACTGATATTTTGACCGATGTCAATGACGTCTCAATGGAATCTCAATAGCATGTCAATTGAATAACAGTGGCTTGGCGTTAACATAAAATAGTAGAATTAAGGCCCTGGCCTGACGTTCCTGAGTTACAGTAGTTCTCGCCTCACGATCTTTTTCAAATTCCTGTGATCGAATTAATCTCATCCTTTTAGTATTTTTGCTGCACTGGGAGAGGTTCGATCTTTACACCTATAATGAACAATACCTACTAACACAACGTTATTTAGTAAACGTATACTTTATCATAAACGATTAAGTTGTAAGTACTTACAGATTTTTACTCATAATAAAAATTAGGAAATAATTAAAATCAGGAAAAATACTTTAGTTACTAACCTAACCTACTTATATGTATTTAAAGTTTAACAATTAGAACGTGTTACTCGTACCTGATATAAAATATATATCTACTATTGGAAACAAAAGAAATCTGTAATAGATTTTTTTATTTCAACTCCGTAATATGTACAGATTGTTTTTAATTAACTACTAACCTAACCTAACAAAATAAATTACAAAAGAATACACAGAATACACTAAAATCGCCTCCTTACGTATAAACACATATTTATTTTATTAAAATAAACAACACTGTGTTATCGTTATGGAGCGTGTGCTCTCTTACGTGCATTCGCTATGCAGCAGCGCTGCACTCGGCGCACTTTATATACCTATCCGCGTGCTGTGTCCAACCGATAAGCTTCCAGCCTGTTGTACCATGTTGATCTCTAGATCCACCTATCTGATTGTAAAAATTCTTTCAAGGATGGAAAGCTAGACACTTCCTGAGTGACATAGGTTATAGTAAATCATGAAAAATAATGTATATCAGTGTAAAATATCCACATTTGTAAACCAAGACGGAGGAAAATTTCTAAGTTGCACGTTATCGGCGTGCGTTGGGCAAACGGTTCCAATTAAAGGAATATAATGTATAACAAAAACATTAGTCTTTCGTAGATCTACAATAAAGTCCGCGGCACCATATATCTAACTCTTATATTTAAGACAGAATAAAATTTTTTAGTCATGTTTAGGTGAATTTATATCGTTCATTATATGCGTGTGTATAAAAAAAAAACAACATTTGTCTTTTACTGCATTTAATTTGAGTGTATAGATGAGGAGATAAATTGATATAAACGCAAGATAAACGACAGTGATTCATACGTGATTCTTTAAATTGAAATTTTTTTTTTATTTGTGTACCGATTGAAATAAAACAAACACTAAATTATAAGTGAAGTTTACCACAATACATTAGTGAAGACCGCATCCAATCGGTTAAGCCCTTTCTGAAATTAGCACGCACAAACGCATAGACAAACAAAACAGAGAAAAAAACTAAAAACTGTTGTTGTAAGAACTTACGAAATGAAGAACTTATGAAATCAATAGAACATTGCTTTCATAAAGACCCCCTTCATTAGTTTTTCTTCAATATCTTCAATGTACAGCCATCGACCTGTTGCAATTTTATTATATGTATATTTACTTATTGACGACGATGAAATGATTATATTTTTAGGATAACCAATATATATAAGAACTACTACTTATTTTGATAGAAAACTTACTTGCTTCAATAAGTAGGAATTGAATAGTTCATAAACTCATAGTCTGGCACCATAAAAGTTTATGAACTATTCAACTCCCTACGTAACGATGATGTAGCTACAACAAATAAATGAAATAGATGATCTTCTCTCTCATCTCATTTCTCGTCTTTTATATCTTATTTATATATATTATATATATTATACTTTATTTTACAGCTTCAACTGATAAATAACGTAATGTTATGCAACACAAGGCAACCAAAACTTTTATAGCTAACTGCCGTTACCTGTTACTTTCAGTGTACATAATCTTGATCGTATTTCATCTTATTGAATGGCGAACATAGCATAGAAGGCCGGAAGAACGTAAGTGCGTTGCTCCCTAAAATAAAAAGTATTGAGCTTACCTCTCAGAACTGCTTGGGCGATATGTCACGATATATTCAATTCCAATTCAAATTGACGTTTCTGGAAACCAAACCGTTTAAAAAAAACTCGTTATGCGTCACATTATGCATAGTTTGATGGACTACAGGTCTGCTAAGTACCCATGGCTATGGCTATATTAAAAATCCCTATTTTTATTGTTGTTCAACAATAAATAAAATATCAGAAATATACCTGTGCATTAAGCATGATTTATCATTAAATCTTATCGATTTATTGATGCAATGCACTATCATTGCATGTTACGGTATAAATTCGCTTGCATTTAAAACTTATTTACTCTGCTATCAGACAGCAAGGTATCGACATGCATCTCATCACACTGTTGGCCGTTTGCGTTGCGGCTGTTGCCGGTAAGTTGGTTAAATATATCTGTCTTATAAACTATATTTATTAATTCTTTTGTTTCATAACACTTTTAAGTTTGATTGATTTTTCATTCAACTAAGAAAGTAAAATCACGAGTAGAACAGATTATTGTCAGTGCTGGGCTAGCTGCCTAAATAGTACATCAGAAGTGCTCAGGCCATGTCCCTATACCATGTACCCCTTTCTGACCATACTGTATGATCGTCCAGATTGACATTTTTATCTTGTTTTAAATGATATATAGCAAAGCAACACGTAGAGCCTGTAACAAAATGAATAAAATGAAATTAAAACTCTCGCTAAGTTTACGATCACATAGGAAAATTGCTTTGAACAATTAATTGTTAAAATGTACTTAACTACACTCGACAAACGTACAAAGGCAATAAACAACTGTATTAATATTCGAATATCAAATTAAACTGTAACATTGTTTTGTGTGTGTTTTACAAATGCAGTACCAAGAATTATTTCGTGATGTATATACATATTTTACAGAACTGCATTCACCGCTACAAACATCTTTTACCATTGCCATTAAAGGTATAACAAAATAATGATGTCTGATTGTCTTTTTTACATAACATTAATTTGAATTTTCAGCATCCCCGGAAACCTTTGAACCATCTCAGAGGATCGTAGGTGGCACAGTTACGACTATTAACCAATGGCCTTTCCAAGCCAATGTTATGGCTGGAAGTGGCAATAACTTTCGACAGTGGTGTGGCGGTACCATCGTTAACAACAGAAACATTTTAAGCGCTGCTCATTGTGTTCGCACACCGACTATGTAAGACAAATATTATCTATTTTAGAACTTTGGTCGGATTTCTTTTGTACATTTGAGAATATTATAAAATATAACCACATTTTTTTTAGGAATCTGGGAGCTCATCAGATGCGTTTGCGTCTTGGTTCAACCTGGGCCAATAGCGGTGGAGTTGTTCACAACGTTGCCCAACTCATTATTCACCCAAGTTACAACATGTGGACCACCGATAGTGATATTATGCTTCTGCGCAGCAGTACCACTATATCTTACTCCAATGTGATTCAACGTGGAACAATCGCCGGCCCTAACTACCATATCCAAGACAACCAAGCAGTTTGGGTACTAGGCTGGGGTGCTCAATGGGTAAGATCATTACATTAAAATATATTTATCAACATATTATCAATAGTCAAGAAATATTTTAATTGATAAATCTTGAAGATGCATAACAGTGTTAAATATAATATCTCTATTACTATAGCATTAGTTGATTACCTTATCGCTTTTAATTGTTCATTTTTATTTTATTTGTATTGTGCTGCTTTATAATTTATTTTTTGTTTTTATTTTTTAAATTAACACTTGCTTTTAAGATGAGCAGGAAGTGTTGGTGTAGTTAATTAATCGATGTTAATTTATATGTGAAAGCTTTTTATTGGCAATTTAAGCGTGGAAAACGACGAGGATAATGTATGTAAAAAAATACCTTCGCAGCGTAGTACAAATTATCCAAAACTTTATCAAAAACATGTTTTGTTTGTTTTTTAGTTTCAAGGACCTCCCTCAGAGCAGCTCCGCCAGGTGCAAGTTTATACCATCAACCAGAACGTTTGTGCACAACGCTACGGAGGTAACACAATCACCGCTAACATGTTGTGCACCGGTGTGCTCAACGTCGGCGGTCGTGACGCGTGTCAGGGTGACTCCGGCGGTCCCGTTTTGCACAACCGCGTTGTTATTGGTGCTACCTCTTTTGGACATGGGTGTGGCCTCGCAACCCACCCCGGTGTCAACGTACGTATGCCTCGCTTTTCTAACTGGATTATAGCAAATTCTTAAACCCCCTCAAAACTTCCAACAACAATACCTACCATGAAATTATACAAATGTATAAGCAATAAATAAAAAAGTTTTAACAACCCCAAACACTGCAATTATTATTTATGTGGTAACCCAATGTTATAATACTTCATTATTGTTCCGTACTACATATAAGACAAACTACGTAGTTGTCCAATGGTATAGAGGTAAACACACTACCGTGGGAGAGCTATGCTTCAGCACGAAGCATGTCTCTCCTTACCGGAGTGATTGCACGTCTGACAGCGGGAGAGTTACCGGAGCCCAAATTCCCCCTCCCGCTGACTCGAGCGGGAGGGACTCCAAGGGCAGCAACGCACTTGTGACTTTTAAGTTGCAGGTGTCCATGGTGCGTTAGTTGCTTACCATCAGTGACATATCTGCTCGTTTGCCCCCTTATACGATAAAAAAAACACGGCTGGGAGGATAAGCTGATGTCATAAAACTAAAGTAATCGGAAACTGTTTCTATATCTACTGCGTCGTGGTGTTGGTATCAAGAGTATGACGCACTCGTCCAGCGGAACTTATTGCATGACATATAACATTTACTACGTCTAACGTTAGGTTCAGTTAATTGAATTATATTGCTGACCATAATTGATAATAAACTGAAATTTTAAATTCAGATACTAAATGCAATTACATAAAATAAAATAAATACATAAAAAATATATAAAATAATATCGTAGTAGTCCTATGAATGATAATAGATTTGACGAGAATGTTCCGGCGAAGACAAATAGGTAACAAATAAGGTTAAACTTTTTTCTGACCTCAGAGACTTTGACTTTGGCGTCCACCACTCCAGAAGTTATTTGTCTGAATTTTATTTGTAACTAGCGACCCGCCCCGGCTTCGCACAGGGGCAATATGGATACTGATGAGGTGCCAGTGTCGAGTTATTAATAATTTTATCGTTGTGATTATTTTACAGAATATCTTCATATACAGCTGTTTTCATAAGACAATACAAATATGTTTTCTTTAGATTTTACTTTAGTAACCGCAGCGCCCGCCGAGCGCTGGTACCTACTAAAAACTCTCGGACTCGGACCTGCTAAAAATCGCACGCCGACTTACGTAACGGTAGCCGGGGAACCAGGTGTACGCTGGAATGGCAATCTCTGGTACCCAAACGGACATCGAGCCATCTAAGGCTTTTAGGTTATATCCTTGTGTATGGGAACCATGATCTTCCCCATTCTACTCCCTAAAGGGCGTCGACCGCTGGCACCGGGGACGTACGACCTGACCTGATGCTTATATACCTCCTAAGATAATTATTTTAATAATAATTCATATTACAAATTTTGGAAATTCTCGGCTTTTCTCTACCATAATATGCATGTATTATACATATAAACCTTGATCTTGAATCACTCGATTTCTATTGATGAAAACCGAATTACAATTCGTTGGGTAGTTTGAAAGATCTAAGCGTAAAGGTGCCGTTATTCAATGTAATGATATATATATCGTCCGTGTGGTGACGGATTAAGAATACAGATTGTCACCACCCCTATTCATCCCGTGCGTGTTGTAAGAGTCAACTAAGGGAAAAAACTACGCAGAACAACACTGCAGAGAGAAGGAAAACTTGACACAAACCCTATACAAACCCGTCTGGCCAGCGTGGCATAGTAGGCCAAAACCTCCTTTCTAAGGAGAGGCTTATGTCCAGCAGTGGACTATTAAAGGCTGTTGATGATGATGATGATGATAATATATATAACACAAACAAATTGTGCAAGCGTTCACGCTTTTGTCCCAGGAAGTAGACCTTGCCGCACCCCATCTTCTCTTCTCCTCCAAACTACTTCTCATAGTACAACTCGCTATGACTAGGCTTTCTCTGTGTCTGCGGAGCGGAATTCTGTTCCCCACTCAATACGCGATGGCCCATCCTTCAGTGTTTTTCGAGAGAGGCAAATCTTGGCATTTTTTCTTTCTCAGAAGTAACAAACTAATATATGTATGTAGGTTATACCTACTCGTATATATGTATATGATTAGTGTAGTGTAGATTGTGTATGATTAGTGTAAACTTAAGTTAAATTATAGTATACATATTTACATTTTCGTATTTGGTTATTTGGTTTATGTTTATGTATATATTAAGTTGTATTTTCTATTTTCTCAAATTTCTCTGTATACACAGCTTTCTCATGTGTGCTTTCCTGTCTTCCCTCTTAGCTTTGCTGGAACAGAACTCAATTATCGGTTAAGCTCGACAAGACACTATTCCTTTGTGTTTTTTTTTTCTGTAAATTTTTATATTGTGTATGTACGCGCGAAACTTTAAATATTGTTATTTTTATATTTAAGTGATGTTATTAGAAATATTTGTAACATGTTTTTGCAATAGACACTTATTTTATTGTTTGAAGTAGTTTGATTATAGAATTACTTATTCAAAAGGTTTAAATTACTCAAATTATTGTGTCGCATATAAAACGCATATTAAAATTATTATGATTTATTCAATTCGTTAAATAAAACTAGATTTCAATTGAAATGTGGTTAGCAGTTTGCGAAAGAATGTTTCATATTAAATAAAAAAATATTTTTCAAAATAAGTCATCTAAAGATACGTCCGTGTGGTGACGGATTAAGAATACAGAGTGTCATCACCCCTATTCAACCCGTGGTTGTCTTAAGAGGCGACTAAGGAAGCAAACTACGCAGGACAACAGCACTGCAGAAAGAAGGAAAGCTTGAAACAAACCCTTTACCAACCTCCTTTCTGAGGAGAGGCCTATGTCCAGCAGTAGACTAATAAAGGCTGTTGATGTAATGTGATGATGTGAAAGATACGTTAAATTCATTAATATGCTTATCTTGAAAATTAAGCTCTATTTAAGAATTAGTTTGTAATGTTGTAATTTATTTGTTGATAAAATAAACTGTAGTTGCTATAACAGTTGTAGAAATTATAAATACAGGATGTCATAGTGAAACGACATTTTAGACTAGCGATCGCATAAGAATAAACAAGTAGTTGTAAGTATGCGGTTTAATGACATGGACTCTGAAAGGGGTAACTCTGATCTAGCGCCGACATTTACATAAAAATAAAATAAATAAACTACTAGAACAGGAAAAAAATGAAGAACCCCTTTAGCCATTATATTAACAAAACTTAATAAGATAGATAGATACAGAGGTTTAAATGAAACACCGCAATGTTTACATTTTTGTATCCCCAATCAGTTTCACGAATCAAAAGTACCTATATCTAAGGTTCTTTTGATTTCATGACTGAAAAATAACGATTATTGTTGAAAAGGTCGTACAAAATCTTGCCTATTGGTAGCTTTACTCGCGGATGCCGCGTAACCTAGAAGCGACGAATTAAATTAATGTACTAGATAATTGTATATCTACAATAATGCTCATTGCATTACGCTCAATGCAAAATATTATGTTACGAAGCTGTTTCCTTCTGTTCAGAATTAATCCTTATCTAAATAAATACGTTCGTTAGCTTGGGCATGTTATGCAGATTAAAATTGTCCTTGACACTATATAAATCCCATTAATACTTAAAAACTATGATACATTTAAAATTTTATGCAACAAAAAAAAAAGGAATATTGGATCGAATTGTGACATATGACGAAAAGTGATTGTTTTCGATAACCGTAAGCGAAAAATGAAATGGCTGACCGGAAACGGCTGGCAGGTATAACGCCGCAACAGTGCCTTAAAGCAAAGCTTACCAATGAAAAGGTAATGGTAACTGTTTGGTGGTCTCTTCATGGTGCTTTTCACTATAGCTTTGTCAGCACTGGTCAGGCAATAGCAGCAGATGTTTACTGTGCCGAACTTTGAACAATGATGACGAAATTGGCAGTGAAACCGCCCCGATTCGTGAATCGATCTTCACCATTATTGCTCAATGATAAAGCAGAACCTCACACTGCCCGAGAAACCGTTGTAACTCTACAGGAGCTGCAGTTAGAAACCATACGTCATCCTGCGTACTCGCGAGATCTTGCTCCAACGCACTTCCATTGTTTTTCGTGATTTGGACAATTTTCTACGTGATACAAAAAAATCCGGGAGGCAGTATAAAATGC